CAGAGCATGGGGACCAGAAGATACATGGGTCCTTGATTACCTAAAATAGGGTAAGCTAAACACTTCTGCTTCTGTCATTGAGCAACTATGCCTACCTTGCTTGATTTCCCCTCTTTTCCATATGCTTGTCTAAGTGTTTAACATATGGCACATGGACTTTGTACTCTTTTTGTGCTAACTGTGATGACAACAATCAGAAGATTCCTGCATATCATCTTACTTTGAAGTTTAGCCTGGAAACCACCACATCTCCATTTGGGGTAATAATAGGAACATTTTCACAGATAATCCCATGACCAATATCTATTACTCTTCCTATAAGTAAAAAAGACAAAAAACAAAAAAACACAATATATGTTAATAGAGCATACAGACCTACAAGTACAGACAGAAAGTTATTGATTTGTGAAAGGCTGATTTACAGAGACGTTCATCACTGGGTGACTTTCACATGAAATGCCTCTCTGTGTTCTAGATGGGATTAGGCAAGAGACTGGTCTTTGTTTCTTAGTCTTTGGTTATGTCAAGAACTTGTACAATCATACACCAAGCATAATCACTATAAATTTGTTATATTTATGTTAACTTTTATTCAACACTTTAGGAATCAATTCTAGCTAAGGCTACGCAATACTCCAGGTTCAATTTTAAAAAGATGCTTCAGAATACACACAAGTCCAAACACAGTCCCTGTCTACAATTTCTTCAAGCAGCCACATCTTTTCCTGGGATCATGTGAAACTGCAAAGGCCAGTTGTACAAGCCTGGGAAAAAACGTGGCTTCTTTAAAGTGTTATGGATGGGGCTACGTTCATGTTCCCACCCACTCAAAAACATCTTTTCAGAATGATTTCCAAAACCCAACTAGCTCCACCCTAGATATTTCTAAATGTACTTTCACTATCACTTTAAGCAATCACTGTTGTTTCAGAAGGATTTTTAAAAAATGTTACTGTACTGTAGTTATTTCCAATAACCTACATAATGTTTCATGGTTCTATGCTCAGTGAGATCAGTTAGAGCAGTTTCTCAACCTTGGGAATTTGAAGATGTATGGACTTCAAGAATTCCCCAGCCAGTTAATTCCACAGTATTTTTCATTAACTTCTTTGACTCTGAAGAAGTCTTCCAATCTCATTTCACAACACCATAAGATGTCAAGAAAACTGAGAAATGTTTAACACAACCCTCCCAGAGTCTTTTGAGTTGGGTGGACTGTAATAACTGTTAAATAAGCAACCATAACACCTTAAAATCAAAATGTAATATTCCCAAAGTGGTTTTCAAACCCTAATGCTAGAAAGAGTACAATCAGAGGATGGCTGCACTTGTCCACTTTTGTCTGAACTTGGAAGGCCTGATCCTTCCATAGATGAGAGACCAGCAGGGAATCCTAGGGCTGTAGTATAAAGGCAATGGCAAACCATATTGTTGTCCAAAAAGTTCATGTAACCACCAGGAGCTGAGCTGACAAGAGCTTCTTAAATCAGCTGGAAGGCAAGAAAGAAAGTGTGCATCGTAGCCTTCCCTAGTAATCTCTAGATGAGCTAGATTATAGCTTCCCAAATTCCAGACAGCACATCCTTGTGACTAAAGATAT